TTTCATTTATACATGAATCGTGTGGTCAAACTAAAAGCATGTAATGTTTTAAAAACACTGAAATTAATGTGTAACTGAAATAGCTAATATTGTAAAAATGTGATAGATCTGGTTCATGTGGCACTGAATAAAAATCTTAAAGGGTTAGTTCACCCAAAAATGAAAATTAGCCTGTGTTTTACTCACCCCCGAGGCATCCTAGGTGTATATGACTTTCTTCTTTCAAACGAATCCAGTCAGAGTTATATTAAAAATAGTCCTGGCTATTCCAAGCTCTATCATTGCAGTCAGCGGGTGTTGCAGTTGAACAGTCCACAAGTCGTCAAATAAAGCACACGCATCCGTAATAAAAATGTGCCTCACACGGCTCCGGGGGGTGAATAAAGGCCTCCTGTAGTGAATCCATGCGTTTTTGTAAGAAAAATATCCATATTTCAAACGTAATAACTACTTTTCTCTCACTTCTGGTATCTGTCATACGGGGAAGCCGTGCCGGCGGATGATGTAGTACGTCGGCGTTGCGTGATTAGTGACGAACGCGGAGAGAGAACAAAACAAAACTCTGGTCATGAATTAGAAGTACAAACCGAAGATTTGCAAAGAAAAATGTCGGAGGATTTCGATATAAGCCAAGAGGAGACTGGTTTTCCTTTGCTAAAGTAAGGAAACTTTGCTTCCTTTGCTCCTATAAACAAACTCGCAAGACTAGCATATCTCAGGGGCGCGCGCGCTGAGCATACGTCCTGCGTCAACCGCCGGAATGCCTTCCGCATAAGACAGATACCGGAAGTGAGAGAAAAGTAGTTATTACGTTTGAAATATGGATATTTTTCTTACAAAAACGCATGGATTCACTACAGAAGGCCTTTATTCACCCCCCGGATCCGGGGGAGGCATGTTTTTATTACGAATGCGTGTGCTTTGTTTGACGACTTGTGGACTGCTCAACTGCAACACCCGCTGACTGCAATGATAGAGCTTGGAATAGCCAGGACAATTTTTAATATAACTCCGACTGGATATGTCTGAAAGAAGAAAGTCATATACACCTAGGATGCCTCGGGGGTGAGTAAAACACAGGCTAATTTTCATTTTTGGGTGAACTAACCCTTTAACTTAGTATAAAGTCTTAATACCACAAAATTCAACAAATTTAGCCAAGTGTGGATTTAAAATATATAAATAAAATGATCAAATGAAATAAATAGAATAATAATTTTAAAAACAAATTGTCAAAAATCTAAATTTACTATTTACTTTCCTAATATATGTTACTGAAATGTTAGCATTTGTAAACTCATCATAAATTAGTAACTTGCTTATTATCTAACTATACTCTTTTTTTTGTTTGTTTGCTTTAGATACAAAGTTGCGTTAAAAAGCTGGTCATCACTGTGCTTGTGAGAGGGAAAAAGATGGATCCGTCTGCAGGTATGCACATGTCTGCTGTTCCCCAGAACAATGAAGTGGTCCACGTCTCTGTCGGTAACCCCATTATAACCATGTATCAGCCGCAACCACAACCTCCAAACATCGCACAAATCATCACACATCACGTGGTACCTCAAGAAGTCTCCTGTCAGGCTATACAGCACACGATCCCATCGCACATCCAAATGCCAACTCACATCCAGACTCAGTCACACATCCAGCCTGCTCCACATCTGCAGACTCTACCGCAAGGCCACATGGAAGCTCAGGCTTATATTCCGACCCAAGACCACATGTCAACACAAGGTCCATCAGAGGGCCAGAGCGCCGCGCCGTCTCAAGATGATGCAGTGAACTCACTGCAAGTCCCTTTTGCAGATGTAGCCTCCCTGCTGGACCCTAACATGAAGAGCTCAAAGGCTCGCAAATACCAGATCCATTACGACGAGGTGAAGAGGAGATTGGAACCACCTGAGAAGATGTCTCTCCGATCTCTGGCTGCCTATACAAGAGTGAGTCGAGGTCCGGCTAGTAAGAAAACACTCTTGGAGTCTCTAAATGTCTTCGGTCTGTCACCAAGCACCAATACAGCAGTGTCCAGTTCCTTTTCCAAACTAACTGAAGGTACGTCTGAACAATATACTTGGAAAAAGTGAAAAATCAAACCTGTTTGAAAATAAAAAAGGTATTTTTATAGTTTTAGTGGCTTTTTGCACATAAAATGAAAGTCATCAGTGTTGTTTTAGACCCCACTGACTGTCATTTTATGGGAAAATCAGTTGATATATGCTTTAAAATATCTTGTTTTGTAGACAAAGATAAGTCAAACCGGTTTGAAACAACATGAGTCAATAAATGATGACAGAATTGTAATTTTTGGGTAAACTATCCCTTTAAACACAACCAGAAATGAATGTAGACAAGGTTAAAGCAAATTAATTCTACATAACTGCATGAATTTTCATTATTTTCAGGTGACACAGCTGCCCTTTGCAAAGACATGAAGGATTTTGCACTGCAATATGTCGATTATGAGAATATGGCGAAACAGTTGCTACCTGAAACAAACCAAGTGCAGCACTGGTCAAAAATCATTGAAACAAGGTCAGTTATTAGTAGGCCTGTACAAATAATAGTAAATGGTTCTGCTGTGATTCAAAAAGTAATTTTGGTTGTTTCTCTGTTTGTTAAACAGGAATTATCTAGAGGAGATGAGGAAGATTTTTAATGACCATCTGAATACACGTTTGTTCTCCAATGTTACGCATGGTCTTGGTAACGGCATGATGGACGTGGCTCTCGATATAGTAGATAACGTCATTGACCGACAAATCCGAATCCTCTCAGGGAACACAGACCCCAAACCCGAACCTCCGGTGAGAAGGATAAGGAAACGCAACCGCAAGCCCAAAGCCGCCACGGAAGACGGCAAACCTAAAGAAAAGGGCAAAAGGGGACGGAAGAAAGGGAAACAGATGCGGCTGGATTAGAATTGTAATTTTTGGGTAAACTATCCCTTTAAACACAACCAGAAATGAATGTAGACAAGGTTAAAGCAAATTAATTCTACATAACTGCATGAATTTTCATTATTTTCAGGTGACACAGCTGCCGTTTGCAACGACATGAAGGATTTTGCACTGCAATATGTCGATTATGAGAATATGGCGAAACAGTTGCTACCTGAAACAAACCAAGTGCAGCACTGGTCAAAAATCATTGAAACAAGGTCAGTTATTAGTAGGCCTGTACAAATAATAGTAAATGGTTCTGCTGTGATTCAAAAAGTAATTTTGGTTGTTTCTCTGTTTGTTAAACAGGAATTATCTAGAGGAGATGAGGAAGATTTTTAATGACCATCTGAATACACGTTTGTTCTCCAATGTTACGCATGGTCTTGGTAACGGCATGATGGACGTGGCTCTCAATATCATAGATACCGTCATCGACCGACAAATCCGAATCCTCTCAGGGAACACAGACCCCAAACCCGAACCTCCGGTGAGAAGGATAAGGAAACGCAACCGCAAGCCCAAAGCCGCCACGGAAGACGGCAAACCTAAAGAAAAGGGCAAAAGGGGACGGAAGAAAGGGAAACAGATGCGGCTGGATTCTGTTGTTCCTGAGGTTCAACAGTCCTCAGAGATGGAGAGCAGCATGTTAACGCTAGTCTCTGTAGGATACGAAACCATTTCCAGTGGACTTAACCCCACCAATGCAGGTCTTGCGTAACATCACGTGCCTGAAAGGTGCAGAGAGACACTGTGAATTCTGAGTGCAAAAAGTTTTTCATAGAAAGTTTTAGTTTTATAAATGTTAGACTTCTCTCCTTCTCTCAAGACTGGCTATATTTTGTTTCGTTTTTTCTCACAATCTGGTCAATCAAGAAAATAATGTAGGTCTGAGAGGATGTTGGCAGAGATTTTTTGATTTAAAGCAATCATGTATTGCCCTCAACCTTTTGTTTTGCCATTTGTGGCAAAGAACAAATGTACACAGACAATTTTTTTTTTCAAGCACTATGCTGTATTCTCATAAAATGGTCACAATATCAATTTCTGTTGGTCTCATTTTAGAATTTTATCTCTGAAGTGTTTTTTGATTCTGTTGTACTTAATCTTGCAAACTCCAAGCAATTTAGTTTGAGAATGAACATATCTTCTCTTGGACATTGTTTGATTTTTCGGACTATTTATTTCCTTTTTCTGTTTGTGTCTGATATTTAGTGTATGTGAACAACTGTAGCCTGTACTCGGTAAGTTTTGCAGATTGCTCATCATATGCTTGTATTAAAGGCATTACATTTTTTAAGCAATTTGTATATTTATTACATTTATATTGCTTGCAGAGCGTAAAAGGATCCATTTTAATACAAAACTGAAATTTATTGAATGGATTTATTGCAAGTACAACTGCATATAATTAGGGTTAGGAATTTAAATAAACCCTTAACCCTACGTATTAATTTTATGAGCGTTGCATATCTCACATTATTTGCGCTATGAGCCAGAGATATCCGAAACTATGTGGATTTAAACGATAAAATATGGAAGGAGGGGCACAATCCTAACATCATAGAGACTTTTTTTATATGATCCATTATTAAGTAACATGTAACAATATGTTTATAACCATTCAGAACAGCTTTGCAGCCACATAACATCATATTAGCATTGTGGTGGCAACATTTGCACAGTTATTTAATAACATGTAGTTGCTGTTATAATTAATCTGTTTTATACGTCCTCTCAAATATCAATAATAGCTAATTGGTTTGTTTTCAATTATGCTCACTTCAACTGCTTTGTAATCTTTTGTATTTTCACAAAAGATTTCCCCACAAAGCAGCTTTTCTGAATCCCTGGCGAGCATGCAGAGAAAATCCTCACCATGGAGTCAGATTTGTAGCTGAGCCAATGATATTGTTTGTCTGTTTGTTGTTCCTCTCTCTCTCTCTTCTGCCCTGTAGGAGACGTTTGATGTGGGCGTTCTGCAGTTCACAGTGTCATTTACAGGTGTCCTGTCCACTGTGAGGCTTTCATCAGACTGAGGATTAGGAGTGCATTAGAGTAGGTCTGAATCAGAGCAGGCGGTAGAGAGACAGGGATTGAGGGGAAGAAAATAAATGTGTGATGAGTGAGGGAGGGAGTAGTTTGTTTCGCAAACATACATGTATATACAACCCGGACAAGAGTGGAAGGAAAACAGGTGGAGGACACAAAAAAGGACAATATTGCACAAATATATACTGATACAAAGCAAGACATGGAGTTGTGTGAGATTTTAGATCAGAAGCATATTCTAGACTGCCGTGGTAATCCAGGACACAATCAGTGCTGAGAACTAAAGAGGTCATCACAACCTCACACAGACATATGGACAAGATGGGGGCCAGTCGTCCACTACCTAATGCGCCCAAGGGTAAGTAAGAACAGCCACAATGGAAAGACTGTCTGAAGGATGCACATTTCAATGTACGTTTTCTATTCTCAGACTCACTAAGTGCTGCAATAGAGGCCATCAGTGTGAGCACAGAACTTGTCGAGGAGGAACTAAAGCCATATTTGGACACAGTACTCAATGTTGCCATAGAAAGAAGTGAGTATTTCATGTTTTTGTTACTGTATATAATTTAAGATTTAGATTATTTGTTTGGGACTGGAGAAGTCAAGAGTGTACATGTATTCATGTAGACATGCATAGTACTAGTTGAGTGCTTATGTAACAAAAACTAGGCCCTCTGATCATTACACAGGATGTTATATCTTGTGACATCTCTTAATATATTATGCCTTTATAAAGTAGTTTCTTTAAAGTAAACGGAAACTGTTGTCAATTGGTATGAGCTTGTTTCAGCTAGTTAGATGCAGAATGTGCCAGCACTTTGAGTGAGTTCTGAAAGCTGCTTAGTGCGTATTGCTATTACACTTTGGCTATACCTGACCGAGGCTACTATCATAAGTTATTATGTGTCTCTCTGGAAAACGTAATTTTGCCTGGTCAGTTGCAACACTCTAAGTTTGAATATTTTTGCATAATGAACTCCAAACGGTAATATTTGCTGTCATCCTAAGCAAATGGTTTCTTTCATAGCTATGCTGGTTTTGTCTCTTGATCCACTTTGCGTTAAATTTATTCTCACATAGTCAAATAATATAAACTTAAATCAATGTTTGATGTGTAAAAAGCAGGATAATGTACAGTCTGATTATGTACTGAAATGATACAAGACCCTGTGAGGTTTATTTTGCAATAATGAACAAGTGACTGTGTGTTATCCCCTACATATCACAAATCATCCGAGCACAGGTGAGAAATCATAATTAATACATCAACAAGGATAGCTGTGCGAAGGATACACAACTCCTGTGGATTTGAAAACAGAGACGCTCTAATCCGCATTTGTCTCTGTGAGAGCCTTTGAGTGACAGGAACGATTAGCCAGACTGCTCCTTTGTACACAAGCAACCAGGTGGCCAGCTGTGAGCGACTTCTGTAGTTTGTGGAAACATCATTTGTTAATCTGTGCGTATGTTCACTAAGGACAACTGGATAAGAATGGTCTAGCTAGCATGATGTACACAATTTATCCAATTTGTTGTACTTTCAGAGGGATGGGATATATATTCATAACCGTTTGGGGTCAGTACAATTAAAATTAATAATTTTATTCTCCAAGGACACATTAAATTGATCAACAAAAAGAGAGTAAAGGCATTTATAATTTTACAAAAAAAAGTATTTTGAAGTTTGTATTCATCAATGAATCCTAGAAAAATGTCACAGTTACCACAAAATTATTTAGCAGCACAACTGTTTTCAACATAATATTAAGAAATGACTTTTTCTTAATGAGAAATTACCTTTTCTTTCAGCATATTGGAAAGTTCATGTGCTGTAAATACAACTTTGCCATTACAGAAATAATTCTCATTTAAAAAAAAATATTAAAGTAGAGAATGGTTATTCGTTGTAATCATATTCCACAATATTATTGTTTTACTGTATTGTGTATCAAATAAATGTAGACTTAGAGAGCATAAGACACTTCTTTTAAAAACATTAATACTGTACATATTACTCACCCCAAGCTTTGTGCAATATGTTTTTCTTGTCCTAGAGAAAGGCATATCAGAGCAGGTGGTAGAAAGTGGGATTCTGCCTGTTCTGGCTCAGATTTTAAGAAGAAAGAGCACACTCACTACTCACACTGCCAGACTGGTAGCTGAACTGGCCAGAGATGGTAAGAACAAATGTATACATACATAATGCATGTGTTTGTTGGTGTAGCTTTGTGGTTAAGAATATGGGCTGCGCTGTAAACGAATGGTTGAACTCAAGAGATGATCCATGAACGAGACCTACACCATTACCTCAGGTTGCTTGTGGGTTTGTTTCTCTAATAAGTTGCACTGGATAAACTGCAAATTTTGCAAATAATGGGAGCTTGATATCTAACTTAATACTTATGTATTGACTGTATTGACTGATTATTGATTCTATAATTCCATCTTTCTTTAGCTCCTGTGAGAGAGCAATGCTTTGAGACAGGCATTGTGTCTGCCCTTGTGACCTTACTGCTAAGCCAAGACCAGGACCTTCTCCTTCACGTTAGCCAGGCCATCGCCAGGATTTGCTATGACAGCAGTGAGTGAACCTGAACTTTTGCCCTGTTCTTCTAACCACAGGTCTTAATGGCGGTACTGATGTGAGAGCATTAGTCATACTTTAGTATGTCATTGAGTAAGACTCAGAAAGACATTTGTAGCGCCCTATTTACCATAACAAAGGTATTAACCCCCAGTTGATCTGAATTGATCTGTTTCAGAGGCATTCTGAATCTGAGAGGATGTGACTCAGATGTGTAGTTTCAGAAAATAGTTACAATTTTTCACATTTGAAAGCTTATGAGAATGCATCAGTTTGTCATTGGCAACAATAGTGTATTTGGATGCTTTCCATATTGTGATTTTGCTGGAACAGGCAGCGTTCACGAGAAGTGGAGTGCGCAAAAGCTGTGTGTGAAAATTGTCAGATAATATTTAACTCTACATAATTTAATGGCAGGATTTTGAGTGAAATTACCTTATCCGTTTCAGCAAACATCAAGAGAGATAATACAATCATAGATTTTTTAAAGGGATACTTTACCCAAAATTGAAAATTCTGTCATCGGTGTTTTTCTTTTTCTTTTTTTGTCTATCCAACAAAGCTAAAGGGGTTTCAATGTTGTTTTTATTCTTCAAAATGAGGCATGATGACAGAATTTTCATTTTTGGGTCCAGTATCCCTCTGATAAATCACAGATTTTCAGTCTGCAATCTGTATCTTGATGCTGACCCTTGACGTTGGGATTTAAGAGATTATTCTCTTGCCAGACTTGCAGCAGGAGCGATTCCTGAGGCTCGGAGCTGTCCCACGACTGGTGTCGGTTCTTCTCCAGTACAGTGAGAACGAGGCACTGCTGAGCTCTTGCCTTCTGGCCCTTTGTAACCTGGCCGACATGGGCGAAGAAGATGGCACCATGCTCTCCTGGGAGGAAGCGGCATATTTTGGCGAGGGGGAGCGGGTTTTCCGTGGCACCTCACGGTACTCTTTCGGCTTCTCTTCAGCTGTGATGGTGGTCAGGCTGAAACAGTGGACTAACGGCCAGTACTCTGTGGCAGTAGAAGTGCTTCGAAGGTGCTCCACAATGCTGTGGGGTGCAAAAAACGGCCACCAGACTGGACACCGCTTACCGAACTTTGCCCACCTAGTCAGCTGCCCCAAATTGTATAAAGTTATCAAATGCTCAGTGAAGAACATACCGAGAAACAGGAATCTGAGGGCAGCAGTGCTTCATACCCTCTTGTGAGGCTTCATCGTAGTGCTTTTGGACTCAGAATATTAATGAAC